AAGTTTTTTTCTGTGTTTTCTTTGGTCTGTCTCTCAATCCTTTGAAGATACCTAAAGATAATTCTTTTGAATTCCTTATCAGAGAATTCCAATGCTGCTTCTTCCTCAGGGATGTGTTCTGGGTCTGTATCCTGATCCCTTGTTCCTACCACTTTATCCTGCTTCTTTGTGTGGACTGTGATGGTCTGTTGTCTCTGTGGCATCGTGGCCTTGTTGTATTTATATCTCTGTTAATTGTTTGTGAAGAGCAGCCAAGGGTGATTCAGGCTCTTCTTGGTGGTTTTTTATTGTTGGCCCATTGGTGGAGAAGGAGTGAGTGGCTCTCGCTCAGTAAGTGAAATTGCAGGTGGTGTGGGTGTAGTTGTGTCTTATGTGGACTGCTGTTGTCTCCCACTTAGTTAGACACAAATTACAACTGAATAACCATCAAAAAACTTAAAGCACATGGACAAAAAACACACCATGTAATTACATAGGAACAGTAACCAAAAAAAGAAAAAAGGGAAAAAGGAGAAGAAAAAACAAGAAAACCTGCAATATCTGGGGATAAGGCACTAAGAGAAAAAAAAGTTGAGAAGGAGAATAATGAAGAAAAAAAATGGTAAAAATGCAAAAAGAAAAACAAGGAACAGGGTTAAAAAAAGGGGGGGGGGAGACACTTAAATTAAAAAAAAATAAAAATTTCCACCAGGAACCGGGTAAAAAAAATGCTGAAAACTAGGACCTGGGAGGGGAAGATTAAGAATAATAGTAAAAAGGACAAAATAATTAACAATAATAGTTGTTTTAAAACAGACAAATACAAGCAAACTAATCACCAGAAAAAAGAAAGCAATAAAGAAAAAAAAAAATTGGTGGAGGACAGGGCAGGGCATCCAGGCTCCGTCTGAGCACAGAGACTGTGATGGAGTTCCTGTGGGCCCAGAAGGTAGGTGGGAGTGGGGGATGGCCACACCTCCCTTCACCAAGCGGGTGTGGGGTATAAAAGTAACAAGAAGTATGTGATACCTTTTCAGTCTTGCACATCCGGAGTGACCCTGGGGTTGCTGGAAAGCAGAACATGTTCTTAAGCTCCAGGAATCTGCGAGCACACTGTCTCTTTAAATATCCAAAATAGTCAAGCTGCTTTTAAACCTTCAAAATGGTTGTGTCCTCCAGACCGGCAAAAGTCCACAGCTCAGCCCACCTTTCTCTTCACCTTCACCCAGCCACCAGAGCAGTCCTTTGTGCAGTCCCTGGCTAGCAGGGCTGATTTTTAGGTTAATTCTTAGGTCCTACCACCACTCAGGAATCTCCAAGCAGTCTGTGCTGTCAGGATTGCTCAGGATCGCTGCCAGACTGCAGCTCCGTATGTCTCCTTTTTTGGTATTTTCATGCAAATTCTTCTGCTAGTTGGGGTTTAGTTCACTTCTATAGCCTCCCCTTCAAGGCTCAGGGGTCCAAGATTATCTTCTGTGTCTGTGTTATTGGTTTCCCTTTTCTTTGTTGAAGAGGGTCTGTTCAGTCTTTCTGCCTAGTCCACCATCTTGCCGGAACCTGCCTGTGAACACTTTGATCTATCAATTTTTTTTTTTTTTCATTTGTGTCCTAGTCACTTTTATTCAGGTTACTCTGGCCAACTTCAAAGTAAACTTTGTCCAGAAAATGTGCTGGAAAAGATTTTACTAAAGATTGCATATCAATCAGGTAATGAAACCAAGGGAAACCTACTTGAAAGCAACTAACAATAACAAAAATGAAACCAAACCTTTGCAAATAGGGAGCCCTTAGAAGGCTTTCTGATGTCCCTGCTGTATTTGAGAAAGCCATTACCATAATTATCTCTTTAAAGTCACTGGAGCTGTGGGTCACTTACCAGAAATGGCCAGTTGCTGGATCTTAAACTGCAGGTTAATTGTGGGGTTCTCATCTGGCTTGGAAGCTCCAGCCTGAAGACTCATGGTCCCCTTCAAACTTGGTAGCTTTTGGGGATTGATTTTCCCTACATCCCAAGACAGCATCTTCAAAGGAAAAAAAAGAAAATGTAGTCTTTCCAATACAATAATTGGAACCATTCATTTGAGGTGGTTGAGTCTAGCTTCAAGGCTATTTATTCACAACATTACATGCTATCACTAGTGTACTTTTCAACAGAGGAAACTATTTGTTACCATGTCATCTCAAAGGAGTCAGAACAATGTCCATTTGCTTGATCCCCCTTCCAAACAAGGTATAAAGTCTATATGTAGAGTACCTGCAGAATTATTTTCCTTAACATCAGCAATTGAAAACTTCTTGCTTATTCCCCCTACCTTTGTAACTGGGTCAAATGTGTGCATCCCCTGAGATGGAGTGAGGCTCATATTCAGGACCCCTTTCGGCATCTGGCTGGTGACGATCACTCCCTCTATGGCCTTTCCCATAGTCTGCTTGGGTCCCACTGTTATTTCAAAGCGTCCAAGTGAACTACTGTCCCGGAAATTGATACTATGTTTGACATACACTGGAATTGCAACCAGACTGGAAGAGACAGAAACATAAGTTCATTTCATTAATGTGCTGTATTTGGCAATATTTCCCTTTTACATCCTACTTTCTTTTTTTCCCTTGGCAGCCTTTTCTTCCTTATCTACTTCCTTACTTTTTATCTTAAATAATAAAGAAATAAAAATAGTAATCCTTAATTTTTTTTTTTTGCAAAGCTAAGATGTTGTCTAGTGAGCAAACCAACTCTTCTAATGACTCTGAATAAAATCCACAAAATCAAAGAGTATACTAAACCTACTATAAGGCACTATGAACAAAAACAAGGAGTCACTGTATTTTTATGTTGTAATTTATAAACTTGTGACATGAGACTAAATTACATGTACTCGGGAGAGTTATAAATCACAGAACTTTTAATTTGTTATGAGTGCTTTTACCTGACCTCATCTCATCCTCACAAAAACTCTGTGATGTAGGGTAGGTTGTCAAGATTTGACAAATGAGGAAATAGAGAAATCAGAGAATAACACTAAAAGAGTAACAATTCCTAGTATCTACTGAGCACTTCCTGTGTGCCAGTCATATGCTAAGTGCTTTATATCTATTATCTCATTGAGTCCTCATGATAATTATGCAATAGGTACTGCTATTGTCCCATTTTCATAGCATAACTTAATGCGAGGACTAAAGAGACTCAAGCCATGATATTTTCAATCATCTCATATGCATACAAAAGCTGGACAATGAATAAGAAACACCAAAGGAGAATTGATGTCTTTGACTTATGGTGTTCGTAAAGAACACTGAATATACCATGAATAATACTGAATAAACCTGTCTTGGAAGAAGTACAACTAGTCATCAATGACCCTGAGGTGTAAATGTGGAAGCTGTTATGCTGACAAATATCTTGTTGTGTATGTTTTCACCACAATGAAAGTTAAATTAAAGAAAAAAAAGAAGTACAACCAGAATGCTCCTTAGAAGCAAGGATGGTGAGACTTCATCTCACATACTCTGAACATGTTATTAGAAGGGACCAGTCCCTGAAGAAGGACATCATGCTTGGTAAAATAGAGGGTCAGTGAAGAGGAAGATCCTCAAAGAGATGGACTGACACAGTGTCTGCAACAATGGACTCAAACATAGTAATATGACTGTGAAGATGGCACAGGACTGAGCAATGTTTTGTTCTTCTGTACATAGGGTTGTACTCTGATGACACCTTAACAACAATTGTCCCATTTGACAGATGAATAGTGAGGTTAAGTAACATACCCAAATCCATGGATTATATACAGAAGCTCGAATTTAAGTCCAGGCAATCTACTTCCAAAGCCCTTGCTTTTAATCACTTGGGTTATTTTTCTAAAATATTTATTCCAAATCACACAGGAAGGTATTGGTAGCTCTGAGGTTTCCTGGTTCTCATAAGACTGCAGACCTTCTATTCTACTATACAACATTGCTTCCAAAAGTGCTTAGATCTCCAAATTAAATATTCAAGACCAAAAATTAACTGCAAAAAAATATAGGTTGTCACAGCATACTTTAATGCTTATTTTGGGTCAGCAGGGACTGAATACAGGTGTGCTCAGATTCTTATTTAAGAAAAAAATGTTCTCATTTAGACATATAATAAAAAAAGAAGAGTAAACTTATAAGCACTTACTTTGTTATTTAGTCCTTGCAACAAGGTACTTTTATCATTTTCAATTCATCCATAAGAACACAAGCACAGAGCGCTTAAGCAGCTCACCTGCAGATGCCCATCAGGAAGGATGGAAGCTGCAGAATGAATCCAGGTAAGAGCCTGAGCTCTAGCTCACTAGAGGCTATTGTTTACACACACATACATATAATACAGATTCCATTCTTAATTTTAAGGGCTGCTTACTTCTGTGCACTGACATGGTAAGAGAGCAGGCGAAAGTTTCCATCAGGAGGGATGAAAGAGAGGATACGTTCAGATTCCCAGCGCTTGAAACGAACACAGGGATGGAAGCTGACATCATCCAACAACCTGGGGTTCTATAGTTACCAACAAGGACAGAAATAGGAATTAAACATTCATACTTTTTTTCAGGAAAGTAGCTTAGGTGCTGTTTTTATTAAAACATACATACATATTCTGCAGTTATTTAAGAAAAATTTTCTACCTCACACAGACACACACAGATACAAATTCTTCAGTTATTTCCAAAAAATTCAAGCCTGACGTAAGCTTTGTGGCTGTCCTTAAACTATTCTCTCTTGCTTCATTCCATTCTCACTACTCTGTCTTTCCAGAAGCATTTCATTTCCCATCCCCAAAACTAAATCTCTGGCCTAGGACTGTACCATGAAGGAAAGTGTAAGGTCTGGCATTCCAGTCAGCTTGACGCATGCATCAATCACTCCCTGGATCTCAGCAGTAATCGTGGAACCTGAGACAGAAGTAAGACAAAACAGACGGTAAAGAGATTACAGAACATTTCTCTGCTCTCCCCAACTCCCTTCTTCCCAACTTCCTTCCTTCCCAACTAACTTCTTTCCTTTTTTTTCTTCCATCCATCTACCCATTTATCTAGTCCATCCATCTATTCATCCTTCCAAACATTTATTAACTGCATATCAAGTATGAGATACTATGATGAAGTAGTGGGGACAAGATTAATGACATAGTTATTAACCTAAAGGAGTTTTCAATCCAGTACCAGAATCAAGCAGAACATCATTATCTCAACCAATGGTTCAGAAAATCTCTTCTCAGTAACTGCTTTCCCCAATGTCAGTTAGCTTTGCTGCTAAGCTGGATGGAGACTTTTGGTCTTTACCCTATAGGACTTCTCTGTAGCATTTTCCACAGCCAACCGTTTCTCCTGATCTCTGCTAGTTTTCCTGTTTTCGCAGCTCCTCTTCGTCAATGTCTTCTGCAGGTTTCTTTTTTCTGTGGACATCTCTTAAATGCCTATGGTTTTTCACAGTCTGACTTTTCTTTTCACTCTACACACTTTTCCTGGGTTATCCTGCTTGCTTCCCAAGGTTTTCAATTACAGCGATTTCTTTCCTAATCTTATTTTCAGTTCACTGTCACTCCTATCTAATGAGCATCTCTCTCCAGGTAGATGTCACTAAGGCACTTCAAATTCCATGTGCCAAAAAGCAAATTATCTTACTTCCTGGGCCTTTTCCTCCAGTTTCCTATACTACCATGATGATACACCATCTATCCTGTTGCCTATAAGCCAGAAACACTTCTCTAGTTTCCATATTCAATTATCAATTCCTTTTTTAATGACATACCTCTCAAATCTATCTATTCCTCTCCATCCTCACCAGACAGACATCTATAGTTTGTGCCTGGATTTCACCAACAGTCTCCTAGCTGCTTTCTCTGCCTTTAGTCTTATCTCTCTTCAAACTACTTTTTATAATACAGCAAAATGATAGTTCTGAACTGCAAGTCTAATCAAGTTACTCCTCAGTTTAAAACTCTTCAATCACTCCCAACTGCCCTCCTTAAAATGGCCTACAAGGCTCTTCATGATCTGGCCATCTAGGGTAATGTTTGTATTTTTTCACTTACAATAAAATGCAAAAACCTTAAGTGAATCTTAAAATATTATACACCTGTGTAAATACTACCCACATCAAAATGTAGAATATTTTCAGCATGCTCCCTTTGCCTCATCCCAGTTAATCTACCTCCCCCAAAAGTAACCATTATTCTGACTTCAATTACCTTAGATTAGGTCATGACTTTTTTAAACTTCAATATAAATGTAATCACTGTATATAATATTTTGCATCTGGATTTTTTTTTGCTCAACATTGTGAGATTCATCCACGTTGTTGGATTTATCAGTTCATTTTTTTAAATTACTTGATAGTACACCATTATATGAACATATCAGCATTTATTTATCCTTTCCATTGTTGATGGACATTTGGATCATTTCCAGTTTGGGGCTAATATGAAAAGCTTCTATATCTACTTAGTTTGTGAGTGACATCACTTACTTTTCCTCTTTTTTACCCCACACAATTCAGTCATACTGAACTACTTTATTTCCTAACAATACGTTACTCTCTCCCTAGAGTGTTTGCACATACTTTCCCCAAAAAATCTGTTGTTGTTGTTATGTGTGTCAAGTCAGACCCGACTCATAGTGACTCCTCCTTTGGTTTCCAAGGCAGTATCACTATGCAAGTAGATTGCCCAAACTTCCTTCTGAGGAGTGGCTGGTGGGTTTGAATCACCAGCCTTCTGGTTAGCAGTCAAGTGTCATAGGCTCTACATTACCAGAGCACCTCCCAAAAATCTATGTCACTTTTAATAGCTTCTATTCATTCTACTAATGAACTATAACCTATCATTTCTCTGTATCTTTGCTCAGGGTGGATGGGGCAACTCTCTCATGCTTCACCTATGTGTCCCTCACTAGACTTTAAGTTAAAGTTTCCTGTAGCTACAGACTGTGTCTTATTCATCATAAAATGGCCCACCACAGACCAGGTTTGCTGGTCCAATAGAGCCTGGTGGAACCACTGAGACTATGGCCCCTAGCTGCCCTGCAGGTCTGGAATTGAAGCCACACCTGTGGTTTCCAGCTAAACAAAGTACAGGCATGTGAATTAAACATTTACCTCAAGTAGACACATGCCCTGGAGAGAACAACCATGGGAGAAGGAAGGGCTGCTTATGCACAGGGAGACAGCTCAGGGTGCAGAAGAGTATGGAGGGATGGACACTGGGAAGAGGTAACTATGGGGAGGAAGTGGGAGGGGAGCAGATGCATTGTAAATTTCGGTCAATGACATGAGACAAAGTATATTATGTGAACTGCTGTATGAAAAGTGAATTTACGCTGTAAATCTTCACCCAAATCAAAATAAAATTTAAAAAAAGAAAAAAAAAAAAAGAATCACAAGCTAGCCTATACAACTATGAGAAAAGAAAAACTAGATGGCGCCCGGCTACCACTGTCAACCACTCGGAGGGAGATCTATGTAGGAGACCCCAGATAGAGAGGGACAACAATGTGGAACAAAACTCAAAAGCATTTGGGGAAAAAAAAAAGGGGGTGACCAGGTTTGCCAATCTGATAGAGACTGGTGGAACCACTGAGACTATGGCCCCTAGCTGCCCTTCAGGTCTGGAATTGAACCCACACCTGTGGTTTCCAGCCAAGCAAAAGACAGGCATAGGAGTTGAACATTTACCTGAGGTAATACGCTGCTTGGAGAGAACAATCATGGGAGAAAGATGGGCTATTTATGCACAGGGAGACAGCTCAGGGGGCAGGGGTGCATGGAGCGACGGACACAGGGAAGAGGTGACTGTCGGGAGGAAGTGGAAGAAGAGCTGTTGCATTGTGGTAAACTGTGGTCAATGTCATGAGACAAAGTGTATGTGAAATGCTGTATGGAAAGTGAATTTGCTCTGTAAATTTTCACCCAAATCACAATAAAAAAGAAAAAGAAAAAAAAATGGCCCACCACGTGTTGTCAATAAACATTTGTTGAATGAATGAGTTCCCTAATGTGAAGAGAACGTTCTACAAATTCCAAAACTATAAAACTTATAGTCATATTCACCTAATTCAGAATAGATAGAAAAGAAGGCTCCCTAAATTTTAGTGATTTACAACTTTAGTTCTGCCATTACAATCAGGGGTAAATACTCTAACGGGTATCACAATTGGAGGTCCTGGATAGAATAGGGAAAAAATGTGTAACAAAATTCAAAATCACGAAGCAGACCAGGCCTAGCGGTATGACAGAGACTGGTAGAAGCCCTGAGACTAGGGCCCCTAGGCATCGTTCAGGCCTGGAACAGAATTCACCCCTGTGGCTCAACTTTTAGCTAAATGAGAGACAGGCTTATCAGATGAACAATAACAGCAGGGAGATACATACTCCTTAGAACAATCAAGCTTGTGAGATCAAAAGGGTAGCATTTGCCCAGGGATAAAACTCAGAAGGCAGGAAGGCATAGGAAAGAAGGACAAACGGAAATGATAAACACAGGGAGGAACTGGGAAGAGTGCTGTTACATTATGGGGATTGTAATCAATGTCACGGATAATGTCTGTGAATTATTGAATGGAAAACCATTTTGCTCTGCAAATTTTCACCCAAATTACAATTAAAAGGTAAGAAAGAATCAAGGGTAAAATACATTCAAAAAGGAAATCTAATCAATGAGTGAATGACTTTTGTTTTTATGTCTCTTCTTCATTCAAGATAATAAGATCAATAAAACAAGTATAAGATAAACATTGGTCTGCATCATATTATTAAAATCTATTCACAGTGCCTAACACTGTGACACTGAGTAGGCACTAAATTAAAATGAAAGTTCTTGAATGGGACACAATTTTTATACTAACCAATACTACATGAAAGGAGCCTCTATTTTCAGAGCTCCAAAAAATGATTAAAAGCACATACCTGATTTATCAATGATGGCATCAATTTCTTCAATCACATCAAAATATGCCTCATTGTTGGTATATTTCACCCCAGTCCGTCGCCAAGGCACCACTGACAGCTGCCCAGTGGGAAGTTGGTCACCCACATTGGTGCTTCCTAAGACAATTAGCATTATTGTACTTTAATTCCAATTTGATTCTAATGACCATAGAACACTTCTAGGCTCTCACTACCCATGCATTCAGCTGAAGAATTATTCAAACTGAAGATAAGTTTTCGCAGCTTCCATATAGGGTAACCTATATGGGGGGGTAAAAAAAAAAACCAAACCTTGTTGCCATCTAGTCTGTCTCCTCAAGCAGGATGAAGGTTACCTGAGAAAGCAATACCATGTTTTGGCTTTGAAAGTAACCTGAACTTGGCTTCTCAAATTCCACAACAGCTTGCAGTTTAAATAATGTATTGGCTTTCAGTAGGAATGGTAATTGCCATATTGACACAAAATTTTCATGTGTAAAAACAGCATTCTAGTTCAAGGTGGTGTCTTAGGTATATTTATGCTAGATTTAAAAATGTATCCATATTTTTCCGTGTCCAAGAGAGCTACTGATACATTTCTTGACTTGTTTTTCCCCAAAGACATAAAAATATATTTTTTAATTTGAGTTCTGTACTGAAAATATGAACTATTATAATTAACTTAATTTCAATTCCCACTTTCCATTTCCTGAATATTTTTTACTCTAAAGAAAGAAATATTGGGAGGAGTCAAGACGGCAGCTTAGTGAGACACAATATGCTATCCCTCTGCAGCAAAGACCTGAAAAACCAAGTGAAACAGATGTAGATGACAATACTAGAAGCCTGAACATCAAAAGGAAATATAAAGAATTAACTTGAACATCTATTGGAAGGAGAAACTGAATGAATACAGCAAACAAGGAGGGACTTGGAGCAGAGGAACTCTGCCAGCCATCCTGGCTCAGCATAGCCATCTCAAAACAAAGCCAGTAATGATCCTGGATGAAGAGCACATTCGGAAAGTAATGTCATAGCATCCCCAATAAGAAACAGAGAAATTGAGCAGACACAGCCAGAGAGAAGCAAAGTAAGTGAACATGATCCAAATCTAAGCACAGGAAGGAGGACAAGAATTCCACAGCTCCTGGTGTCCATACAGTAGGAAGGGAGCTAGAATTCAGAAGCAAGGTTACTCAAGAGCAGTGGTCCCTGCCCATTGGGATGGCTGGTGTGCATGAAGCAATGGATTCCCAACCAAAATGGACTACAGGCGGCTTCTGCCCTCCTTGCATTGAGCAAGGCCGGGTCTCAATTGCTGACTGCATCTAACAGGAAGTGCCCAGACGATCTTGCCCAGTGACCTGAGGAGGACACGCCCCCTACCCCCACAGTCCTGATAACTAGAGGCACAACCTCCCCTATCCCTACAGCCTCAACAGCCTAGGACTACAGTTTGAGCCCCTTTTTTCAGCCTGCAACCCAGCCCCATCTGCCATTCCTTCTCTTACCCACCTGCCAAGCAGCAGTAGCCATGGTGGCCCCTCCCCACCCCTCCAAGTGGCACAGAACCATTCCTCTGACCCTGTCCACCTGACCCACTGCTACCTGGTGCTCTTCCCCGCCCCCAGTGGTGCAGGACTGTTCCAGCAACCCTGCCCACTCAATTCTGCACCTCGCCTGGTGAACCTGTGAGTTGCAAAGGACAGCATACTCCCACACCCCCACTTACCTGACACACTCACCATACCTAGCTTCTGCCCACTTGATGAGTGCCACTGGACCAACAACAAACAGTGGCCAATGCCCACTCAGCCCACACTAAGCCACCCTACACAACCAGTAGCAGAGATCCACATTCACACTACCAGTCACTGCCGTGCCCACTCAAGAGACAGGTGGTAAAAGCTCCAGTGCTGAGAGACTACCAACAAATGTAGCATACCTACTTCGCTAACTTGGATATATCAAAGCAAAACAAAACCAGGATAAAGCACACAAACACATCAATCAATCAATCAAATAACATCTTAATATCTCAGAGACAAAAGACATTATCAAATCACACAAAGAAACAAGACAAGAGTGCTCAAGCAAGTGACCAAAATAATGAGCCAGAAAACATTCTTGAGAAAGACAGGGTAATGGAACTATCCAAGGAATTCAAAATACTTATATATTGTTGTTGTTGTTGTTATGTGCCATCGAGTCAAACCCGACTCATAGCAACCCCTCCTTGGGTTTCCGAGGCAGTATCACTACGGAAGTAGGATTGCCCAACCTTCCTTCCGAGGAGTGGCTGGTGGGTATATATATAGGATCCTAAAAGAGATCATGGAAAACCGAGAGAAAACTCTAGAAGAATTCAGGAAAACAATACAAGAACAAAATGACAAAATAAGCAGACAGTTAAGAACCATACAAAAACAGCAAATGGAAACCCAGAAGATTAACAACAGAATGTTAGAAATAGATAACTCAATATAAGGAGAAAGAAGTAGAATAAATCAATGGAACAAAGAATTAGCGAAATAGACAACAAATCCCTTGATACTAATTTGACTGAGGAACAATCTGAAAAAAGAAAGAAGAAAAATAAAGAAAGCCTAAAGAGTTATGTGGCATAGTATCAAGACAAATAATCTATACCTTATTGGGATTCCAGAACGGGAGAAAACAAGTGAAAGCAGAGAGAGAATCTTTGAAGATTTGCTGGCAGAAAACTTCTCTAATATGAAAGAGAAGATTTCTATCCAAGCAGATCAATGAAACTCTCATACGACAGACTACAAAAGAAAGTCACCAAGGCATATTATAATCAAACTTTTCAAAACCAATGACAAAGAATTCTGAGAGCAGCTTGTGAGAAACTAATATCAACTACAAAGGGACAACTATAAGAATAAGCTGTCACTTCTTGATAGAAATCATGCAAGTCAGGAGGCAATGAGATGACATACATAAAACCCAGATGGATAAGAATTACCAATGAAGAATCACATATCCAGCAAAACTGTCCTTCAAATACAATAATGAAATTAGGACATTTCCAGATAAACAGAAATTAAGAGAATTTGTAAAAACCAGACAAACCCTAAAAGAAATATTAAAGACAGAAAACCAATGGCACAAGACAACCTGAGATTAAAATGTATGGCTGCATTACCCAGATACCAACAATACAGAAATCTTAAAAGTAAAATAAAGCTAGAAAAATGAAAACAAGGACACAGAGATGTCAATTTGTAATTGACAACTTCAGACAAAAAGGGGGAACAGTGTGGTAACAGAACTTCCATATGGAGAGGAAGTCAGGCATATTAAGAATAGATTGTTTTAAATTTAAGAAGATTGTGGTACAGTGAATTACTTGGTATGGCTCTTCTCCTATGAGAGAAAGTTGGGACTACACAAATGTGAGATGCTTTGTGGCCTGCCAAGGGGACTGGATAGCTTGTTAATAATGTAAATAAGGCACATGGCACCTGTCTTAGTTCTCTAGTGCTGCTACAACAGAAATACCATAAGTAGATGGCTTTAACAAACTGAAATTTATTCTCTTATACTTTAGGAAGCTAGAAGTTGGAATTCAAAGTGTTGGCTCTAGAAGAAGACGAGGCTAGAAGTCCAAGTTAAGAGTACTGGCTCTTAGGGAAGACTTTCTCTCTCTGGATATTGGGTGGAGGCCTCTCAGTCTTGGGCTTCAGCTCTGCCTCTTGTTTCAGGTCCATTAGACCAAGCTGGAGGATTCTCCTGACTCACACTGCTATAGGCTGCTGAGGCTAACAAAGCCACAATCAGTAGGTAAAATGGCAGATTGCGGGCTCATGGGCTGCACAGGCAACAATCTCAAGATCAGCAGGCCACTGATTCTACTTCAGGAACTGGGGGTGATGGCAGGCCAAGAGCAGGATCTAAAATAAGTCCAAAAGCTAGAGACCTTTCCCAAAGCTTCTCCATACATACTGGAAGGAGGCCACATACCAAAGGCAACTCCCATTCAACTAATTAGCTGCTTACAGCAGATTCCACCCTAAAGATGATTACACTTACATCCAATCTCTTCATGAGGATTAACTACATCCAGTTGCCAAGCCACTCAAAATCATGGCCAAGCCAAGTTGACACATAACCATAACTACCACAGCACCTCTATGGGAGTGGGACCATGGAAGTAAAGTGCATGAAACGTTAACATGGAACTGCTAAGTTCTGTCATTCTGCTAGGCTTACAATGAGCTATCCCAGAGGCAGAAAGGAAAATCTCACTACTATAAAGACAGAAAGAGTATCCAGAAGTGGAGTGCATCCTTAGACCTGAGATCCCTGTGCTGGACCTCCTTGCAGAGAGACAGTGGCAATAAACCAAGAGATCTTCACCAGACAGAGTGGTGGGCTTGCTCAGCAAGAAGGCTGAATGCCTTTGGGCAGGAGGCTTGCTGGCAGAGTGGGGTGTACCTATCTGCAGAGCTCGAAGAGCTTTGTAACACTTGCCTGAGCTGGGCAGAGGCCAGGCCTAGAGGCCAACAGCCAGAGGAGCCCACCTATGGACATGGCTGAGGAGAGGCTGTCCTAATTGAAGAATTGTATCCTAAGTTGTCCCGAACCCGAACTGAAACCTGTTACTTCCCTAGTAAAACCCATAATCATGAATGTTGTCTGTGCGTTCTGTGTGGCTACTGCAATGAATTATCAAAACCAGTAGAGTAGTAGAGAGTGCTATGAGATGAATAGTTGGTTCCAGAATTGGTAAAAAGGTTGGAGGTTGACAGCATGTCTGACTCTCACCTTACATGGGAATCAGCTCTGGGCTGCTACTGTTGATCTTTCTCTCTCCCCCTTGTGAAGTTAGAGAAAGAAGGTCAGAGGAGTTTGCCCTATGCCTTTTTTGTAAGATAAAGGTAAATCTTAGAGTAACCACAAAGAAAATTAATAAACCTACTCACCAAAATAAAGAAGAAAATCAAAAAGATTCTGTAAACAAAGAAAATGAAAGGTCAATTCATAAACGAAAAGCACAGAGAACTAAGTGGAATAAAGAAAACATCAACATCACAAAAACAGCAAAACAAAATGAAAGTAGATATATCTATCAATAATCACACTAAATGTAAATGGCTAACTGCACCAGTCAAAGG